GTCAGTTGTTTACTTTCTATTTATTTCTTTAATTTTTTATTTATTTTTTTAGAATAGTCATTCTCGTAACCCTATTAGGTATTTTAAATTATTGTGTAAGAAATGTAAACTCTAACTTTATTATTACGCTTCCGCATTTAATTTATAATTTATTTTTTTTTAAGTATCGGCCGTTACAATTTTAGTGAGAATAAAATATAAATAAAATACAAACTCGAACGAAAATACAATTTTAATTTTAAATAAGTTTTATTGTTAATAAGATGAATTTCTATGATTTCATTTATATAATAAGTGAAAATAAAAACCTATAATTATAGAATTAAAGACATTATTAATTAAATTGGTTGATCTAATGATATATGCATTAATATACATATATATGTGAATTATAATTAAATTTTAATTATACATATATATAAAGTTATTAATATTTTTTACTGGGTCAAGTATTATTTTATTTCTATTTAATTTTTTAAAATTCACTTTAGATATGTATAAATTCATAATAGTTTACACATTTAATAAATAACTACTTAATTAACTTTACATGCTAATTTTACAATAATATATTTTATATTTATGCCTATTAATAAAAAAATCACAAAATATTCAATTTAAATTGAACCTACAATTCATTTACTTATTTTACAATCATATATTTTATATTTATATTTTTGCTTTCCATTATTTTCTACTACGTACTTTTAATAATTGATAAAAAAAGAAAGTACATTTAATTATATATATATATATATATTATTTTATTAAAAATATTCAAAATTAGAAACAAATTTTCATTATAAAATATGGAGTTAATATATTCATTTATTTAGTATGAATCCTGAAAATCTTCAATCAATAAATTTTTTAAAAAAATTAATGTTACTTTCTCTTTAAAAAAATCACGAATATATCCAGCTGATCAAAAGACTCACTCAGTTAAACTGGCAGGGCTGAATTATGCATTTTCGTTAACTTATTTTTGTTTGTTTCATTTATTTATTTATAATAAGTTGAAAGAATATATTATATTTAAATTAAACAAAAATAAAATATTATATTAGAATTAAAAAATTTGATTAAAAAAATCCATGGAATAAATGGATCTGTAAAAATGTTAAATTAATATTGGAAAAGAAAAAGATAATTGTAATTTTTCCAGTAGAATGACGAATGATGAGAGAGCAGATCCAGTGGATCGCAGAAACCTATCCAACTTTACGGTTGAGAATGGTAAGACAAAACACGAGGGACTACTCAAAGTCCACTGATACTAAAAGCGCGCATGTGAGGGCAGAGTGGGTTGTGACGTCAGCATCAGTCGAGCCACGCAGATAAATCTGGACCGTCGATTGGTTTGCGCGATCCACGGTGGTACGCTTTTGGCGGTAGCGTCAGGAAAATATATGTGACTATGATTGAGTGGATCTGACGTGGTGTGCGGTAAAGTCTATTTTTTTTTTTTTATAATCGTGGGGGGTTCCCGACATGGTGACGTGTCCTGCAGGCACATGGCTTTACTACGCAACGTAAGTGGGCCCGGTTGACGTGGACTGGAAGGGAAATATTGAGATTAGATCCGATTTTATGTATTTTCTTTCCCCATGTATTTGTCAAGTTAGGAATCCGTCCTTTTTTACATAATTACCCTCGATCGACCTGCGTATTAACGGAAATAACCCCGGCAGCCGCTAATTTTGAAACTTACCTCTAGATTTCTGGAAGTCCCCGTTCACACTAGGAAACCAAACACCCCATTAAACCCTTTTTGTTCAGAAACATTTTTTTTAAATAATAAAAATCCGTATCTAACTTTATTCGGTATTAGAAATTGAAAATTCGAAAATGAAAAGTTTGGTTAAATGATATATATATAAAAAAAAAAAAGCCCTAACAACTTAGTTTTATTAAATAAATTTTATATCATATAAATTTATTGATTTAAAACTTGTAATTGGCTCAATTATATGTTTGACTAAATTCTATACGAATTTAGAAATTAGAAAAAAGCTGACCTTACACTTGTCCACCGACTTGGTCAAACCTGCAAGCCCAGCTCGTTATTTAAAAAATAAAAAAAAAAAACTAAGGTGGATAGGTTTGGGTTTTATCAATCGGCCCATCCATTATATAATATAATGTAATATTTATTTAAGCACTTGTTTCAAGTAGTGTTTGTGCTTGATGGGTGATAATAAATACGTTTTAAAAAGCAAAAGCCCATGGTAACTGGGTGGGTTGGGTTTGGGAATGATAAGAGTTTGTAAGGTGGTCATAATCATCAGGCCCAATTAGCCGAGCTAGCAATGATTGAATTTGTGGTGCGATGATAATAAGATTATATAGAGAAGCGGTTGATAAGTTACGTGTAAAAAAGAGGTGAAGATGATAAGGAGAGTTTCATGGAGAGTGTTTGTGGTGTGGATAGCAATTTTGGGGAGTGTAAATAGTAAGACAAAGAAATGTGAGTTTGAGGGGATCTTCAACTTCGGCGACTCAAATTCCGACACCGGCGGCTTCTGGGCAGCATTTCCGGCACAGTCACGGCCTTGGGGTCTCACATATTTCAAGAAGCCGGTTGGTCGTGCTTCTGATGGCAGGCTTATTGTCGACTTTTTGGGTATTCGTTTTTCTTCCCCTCAATCTTTCTTCTCCTAACACAAACACAAACACATATATATATATATATATATATTGGATACTTTTGGTGTAAACCATGTGGTTATTAGTTGTTATGGGATATGATTAAAGCAAGCACGTTAAATTGTAAGAAAGATGGGTAAAATGGTAAAAATAATGTCGGTTGTAATAGGTTAAAAAAAAAAAAAAAGATACTCTTTACTGATACTTGAAAAGGTTTAGTGAACCTTGGGGAAAGGAGAATTGGTGGATAATTATGTCTGTTTGTCTGGCTAGTGCTTCTAATATGATAATATAAAATATTTTTAAAATTAAATTTTACTAAAAATAATTTATAAAATTATTAAATGAATTAATAATAAATTTTTATTTTAAAAAATTAGATTTATTATTAAAAAATATAAAATTAATAAATATTGTTCACTTCCAATAACACAATTTTTTTTTTTAATTAAAAAAGAAAAAAAGAGAAAAGAAAACAGTAAAAACCCTCGGTAAAATTTGGATAACGGAGGTGATGCGATGATTTTGGATGAAGATATAAAGATGGCATCAAATACTATTCAGCCATATTCTTGTCCAATCTTCTTCCAGGCTGGACTCCATAAAATCTCTGCAATCATATCTCTCTTATCTTTACCCACAGAAAATACCCACGAGGTGAAAAGAATCTGTAAATTTACCGAGAGAAATCCGAAAAACTTTTAGGACTAACCCTAAACTGGAGTTTGAATCTTCTGTGCACGAAGAAATGGTAGTTAAAAACACATTAGAATGAAATTAATAGAGAATTGATATAACTTGTGGCAGCTGAAGCTCTGGGAATACCATATTTGAGTCCGTATCTGCAATCAATCGGATCGGATTATCGACACGGAGCCAACTACGCCACACTAGCTTCCACTGTTCTTTTGCCAAACACGTCACTGTTCGTAACCGGGATCAGTCCATTTTCTCTTGCAATCCAGCTCAACCAAATGAAGGACTTCAAGCGTAAAGTCGAAGAAAACAATAATGGTATTTGTTAATTTATCATTATTATTAATTAATTCTAAATATATTTAATATTTGTTAATTAAAAATTTTAATAAAGGAAAAAGGATTAGGAACCTGCCGTCGCCGGACATATTTGGGAAATCACTCTACAAAGTTTACATTGGGCAGAATGATTTTACTTCCAACTTGAAATCCATTGGGATTCACGGGGTCAAGCAGTATCTCCCTCAAGTTGTATCCCAAATTGCAGACACCGTCAAGGTAATAATATTAGCTCTTATAATTTCAGCCCATTAGGCCCAAATCATTCATCTGGGCCAAAAGTCAACGAACCCATTATTATTATTATTATTTTTTTATTTAATTGGTCAGGAACTATACGAGATTGGAGGGCGAACATTTTTAATACTAAATCTTGCACCAGTTGGTTGTTACCCGGCATTATTGGTTGAATTGGATCACGACAGATCCGATATTGACAAATTCGGATGCCTCATCTCTTACAACGACGCCGTGTTTGATTACAACAACATGTTGAAACATTCACTTGATCAAACTAGACCAAATCTTCCCAATGCTTCCCTCGTCTATGTAGACATTCATTCTACCTTACTACAACTCTTTAGGCATCCAAAACTACATGGTAACTCACACTTTTTTCCCCAATTTTTTTTTAGTACAACATAATATCTAACGAAATTTGCACTAAATCAAAATTGACTCCAAATTTTTATTCGTTTGGTTGAAAGGCCTCAAGTATGGTCCCAAAGCTTGCTGTGGGTACGGTGGTGGAGCCTATAATTTTGACCCAAGAGTTTTCTGTGGCAATACGAAGGTGGTTAATGGCACCACCGTGACGGCATCAGCTTGTAGCGACCCAGAGAATTATGTGAGCTGGGATGGGATACATGCGACTGATGCAGCCAATAAACTTCTCACACAGGCCATTCTTACATCCTCTTATTTTCACCCTCCCTTTCCTCTTCACCATCTCTGTCATCTCCAACCATTACACTGAAATCTCTAGATTATTTCATTTCATTTCACTTTCTGTAACCCATTACAGGTTGGAATCATTTTATATCCTAAATAAAATCATTGGTATGCTTTCAAAGTGGACAGGTCAACAGCTGCCCTTATGTTTATATGAAATATTCATCACCATCTGCAATGGAGTTCGGTGTTCAACATCACTTTTGACTATTATATATATATATATATATATATGCATATATATTCCATTTCCATCACCACACTCTGGCCCTACCGACTCCTTTTTAAAAGAATCTAAGGCAGTGTTTTTGCGGTGGATTCTATCATATTTATAATTCTGCCTAATACTGGATAGTAGATTGTTAGTATTGTGTTTTGTAAACCAAACAAATCAACAATGATAAAGTCGTAGTGTCTGTATTTTCAGTATGCTCCTAAATGCTGTCAAAATCAATAATGTTAAACAAATTGTGTTTTAGAAATAAGTAAGAGAATATAGCTATATATATGTGTATGTATTTTGGGCATCTTGGTGAGAATTCACTTTCAAATGTAGTGCCTATAGACTTTACAAATACTAAAGCATATAAATATAATATACAGGTAAACCAAATCAAGATATAATAATACAAGTAGGCTGCAGGCCAATTATTCTCTTAACTAAAAGGAAAGAAAATCATTTCCTCATGTGTGATGCCTGAAAAGGTAGGAGTCAACTACCACTTGGTTTTCTCAGTATAAAATAATGAGTTTCAACAACCAAAATGGAGATTAAATACTTGGAGTCACTGACTCATTCTGCTAAGTGATTAGTTAGAAAAGAAACTTAGCTACTGCAAATGCACCCACACACACACACACGCATATTCTCTTCTACCAACCTTGTACTTTCTTTTACCTTAGCTCTCATCTGGTGTAGCTCTTGCCCATCTATCCTAAATGGGAAATCTAACCAAATATAGAGTAAAAATCTTAAGTCTCTACCAAAAATGCCAATATGGAAATGGTGACGTATAGTGAAAAACAAGTTCACGTGCATTAGTTTTCTCAATCAGAATGTGACAATGATTAGAACTAGAACATATAATCATAACCAGAAATTTGCTAACGTTTCAGTGTAAAATTCTTGGCTTATATAAAAAAAAATGATCTTGAGAAGCTCTACAGATGAAATAAAACATGTAATATACTCAAGGAACATAACTGTGTTCTAAAGCAGGCTGAGTTCTTGTCATTGATGCAGCCGGCATTTTATTTGTATTGATCCAAATTGTTTCAACTGCAACACTTTTCTCAGATTCCCTCTCCATATCTCTAATCTTCCTCATTCTTACTATCTTAAAAACAACAACTCCAATTGAAATTAACAAGCCCAACACAACAAAACCAATCACAAAACCAAGCACCCACCACTTCAAAAGCTTCTCTGCCCTGTTCTTGGCTGGCTGCAGACTCTGATCAACCACAACAACAGCAAAATGGCCTTGGCTATGCGTCGAACATTGATTTAGCCTAGTCATGTTGCTGAATTTAACCGAGCTACCATCACCAAATCTCACACATTTGGGTGCCGAAGCCAGATTTTGATCTCGGTGAGGGAAAGATATCAAAACGGGATGAATCATGAAGCTGAAGTTGAGATTCTTGGCGCCTAAAGAAGTTGAATTTGATGCATCATAAACATGAAACCCAATAACAGGAGACACCAAGGAATGGCCAGGAACTTGGTAATAAGATGAAGACCAATTACCCAAGTTTTCAAATACTATAGCTATTCTCTTGGCGAACGGCCTTGTGATAATCCTTGGTGGGATTGCAAATGGACTGAAATTCGCTCCTCTTTCCCAAAAAGTACTGGTTCTTAGCCTTACAACAGAGGCTTCCATGCCCGAGAAGTTAACCGGTAAGGAAACTTTGTGGACAGAACCTGTGCGATCCTTGGAGCCTCTTTTATTCGCGTAAGTACGAATTAAAGCATCTAAAGATTTGGGGTCGGGATAGCTATCTGTGAAGTGAATAAACATAGAGGATAACAGTGACCAAAAGATCAAACAGATGGAAATCTGCCAACTTGGGTAACTACAAGCCATCAAGACTGCCTTAGAAGAAGCCTCTTGCTGCTTTTCTCGATCATAGATACAATGCAGCGGCCTCTTTTAGACGCCATCAATAATGACCTAGAACGGAGTACGTCTTTCCCATGTCGAATTATTTCCAAAAAGAAACCAATCACATACGCATCTTCATGAAAATGCTCCTCCAAAATGCAATCCGATCAGTATTTAAAGCGAAAGCCCATCTGGGTATTGAAACCAAATCAAGAATGCATGGAAAATGAGAGAAGGTACACCAGAAACACCTCAACAAATTTAAATAGAAGACGATGTGCTTCGAATAATGAAATGAAAAGCTTTGAATTTTTCGAAGATTAGATCATACGGGTTGGTGGGCATCTCCGTGGAAGAGAGTTGGGAGAAGAGAGGGAAAGTGGAGAGGGTAACTGGGGATGATGGGAGCGTCCAGTTGGTGTATTGTATGATTAAAAGGGAGATAGATGGTAGTCACTGCCACCCAAAAAGAAAGGGTCCGGTGATGAGTTGTTTAATGCTGTTTGGCATATAATATATATATATATATATATATGTAAATATATTTCAACTCTGCAATTATCAAATCTGGTATTGCCTTTTTTGATTCCTAGTCAGTAGGGTTAGTTGTGTGTGCTTGAGAGAGAGAAAGAGAGACTTGGTTTGGGACGAACGGTGCCAGGGAGGCCCCGTAAGAGAGGAGAAAAGAACTGGACAATTCCAAAATTAGTCATGCCTATTCTCAATCCAATACACTCCGAATTTCATTCATTCAAACCCTTTTTATTTATTTATTTAATTCAAATGAAATTAACTTTGCCTTCCCAACTTCTTTAATTAAAAAAAAAAAAAAAAAGGAGAAACCTTGAGGATTCAAGACCCAAAGATGAAGGAATTTTGGAGGATTTTCGAGTTCTCTGAAGGGCATTTGGGAGTTCAAACAAAAACAAATGGCATGCATTAATGACTCATTCCCAGAGATGGAGAAGAATACTGAGAGTTCTAGAGAAATTTCATAAGGAGAAAAGCATTTATTTTGTAGGGTTAAGAAAGTTCAATTTTCTAGTTAATTACTATTTTTAATTAAAATACAATTTGTTTATGTTTTAGTTACTCATGTCACCTTAATTTTTTTTTTTTTAGAAATAAATTTAATTTCTACTTAAGAAATAAAAAATAGAAAATAATGCATAAAAAATTAATGTTAAAGTTGAAAATTTTCTATATATATATAGATTAACAGAAATCCTACAAAAATAATTTTAGTTTTATTTGAAGAAGCTCTACTGTTTTATTCAGCATTTAAAGCAGGGCCTAGGAGATTGTCTAAGCCCAGTTCGGTTGGGCCCAACAAGAACCAGAACCAGAACCAGAACCAGAGAGGAGGGAAAGATCCATGGCAGATACGATAAGTTCGACCGCACAGGATCCCCAACTCCTTGTCTGAAGAACTGAAAAAGTGTATTAACGATGTTTGAGGATGAAAGGGAGGCCTCTAACGTGGATTTCATAGATAGGGAATTGCCCAATCAGATTTCACCACTTGTACACGTGTCAATCAAAGAATAAGCTCCCCAAAAAAAATATCAGCAAGGATGATAAACAAACCAAAACAACACACTTAAGAAAAGTTTTTCTTTTTAAAAAATTAAAATAAAAGGAATTTTCAAAAAATAAAAAAAAAAATTGTAAGTTAACAAGTCAAAATAAGAGAAAAAAGGGATAGGACTTTAGCCTACTCAATCTCGAACCAATGGCAGCTGCAGCGGCAACATCGTCTTCTATGGCGGCCACCACCGTTATGATACCACGTCTCCCAACCGCACGCTGCTCTGCTGTGCCCTACTTGCCTCCTCCTCGCTTCTCCGCTTGCTCTTTTGGCTCTTCCGTTAAGCAAGTTTCAGGTACTTTACATGAAAAACCTACCACAAGCTCGGATTTCACCAAATACCCAAGAGACTGTATGTGTTATTCTAATGCATTTTTTGTTGGGAATCTTTTGGCTCAGTTGTATCTGTCTTGTGGGGTAGTTCTGCATTTCAGTTTTTGGCTTCTGTAGAACTTGTTTGTCCTTAATTTCTTGTTTATTGATATTGTCCTTTCTTGTTCTGTTTATTCAGTGAATGCTACAGGGGAAAATTAACAAATGAGCTTAAAAGTTTTTAGCATTTGATTATGGTTTTGTGAGAGTAGGAATAAACTTACTATAAAGCAATTATCTAGCTGCGTACATGTGATTTTAGTCGGTTACATCAAAAGCATTACTTGAAGCCGGAGTCTTGATGATTGAAAGGGAGTCTACTTTTCTTCTTCTTCCTTTTTCTGATTGACTAAAATAAAGGCAGTAATGAATCAAAAAGAAGAAAAGAAAGAGAGAGAAAATAGACAAGGATTAAATTGGATGACTTTAACATGTGGTTTCTGCTTGAAAAATGTCTCGTGGTGTTCCAATTAATAATTCTCAAAGGCAACAGGAACGTCAAAGGACCTGAATGCTGCTGATGATGGTGCATTATTAGTGGCCAAAGTAATTTTGGAAAGAGAATTAACCAATCCTCTCTCATATCTTTCCTCACCCAGCTCTCTGATAACATGGAATTGGCAATTGCTTAAGTTTCCATCTGGGACCTGACAATGGGGAAGAGATGGCTTGAAGCTTCAAGTATCTCTCCACATCCACACATGATAAATATATACGCTTTTCTGATTTAGGTGCGGCTTTTCAAATAAACCATAAATGTGAATACAATGTGAAATTGATTGAGTCAAGTATGCATGTGTATGGTACAGCTAAAGCTTTGGTTTGGTGCCACCTGACAGATAAATTTATCCTTTTTGCAGTAGTTAAGAACACTCTTCCCCACCTCCCAGCCCTTGCTTTAATCATCTCTTTTTAAGGGTTACTTTCTTGGACATGGTTGACCCAAAACTTTGATTCTTTTCATACATTTTACTTGAATATCTTAAAACTGAACTGTATCTTTTTATCTTTTTCTTTTTTCTCTCTTTTCTATCTGACCTTTTTTTTTTTTTTTGCTTTTCTTGAAGCAGAGTCCCGGAGGCGTCCTCTGCTCCACACCAGAGCCTCTTCAGAAGAGACATCTTCTGTTGATGCTGGAGAACTCTTCACTGACTTGAAGGAAAAGGTGATAATCAAAGTTATATCATAATGCTAATAAGAAAGAATACTATGGTTTAATTTCCTTCATTATACTTCCCTGTTGGTTTTCCTCGGTTTAAAATAATTGCATTCTGTTACTGCTGCCAGTGGGATGCACTTGAAAACAAATCTACTGTGCTTTTGTATGGAGGAGGGGCAATAGTTGCAGTATGGCTATCATCAATTATTGTTAGTGCCATCAACTCTGTTCCTTTGGTAGGTGACCTGAACTTGGCTTCTCTCTTAATTAGCAGCATTTGATTAAAGTTACAAAGATATCGGCTAGCTAGTCTTAATTTCTGAGTGCTTTTGTTGTTACCAGCTGCCAAAGATTATGGAGTTGGTGGGGCTCGGATACACAGGATGGTTTGTCTATAGATACCTTCTCTTCAAGGTAAAATTAGGAAACTACAACATTAATTTTCATAACATATGATGTCTTTTCTGAAAGGATATAACATACGGTTTAAAGTTACTGTGGTTTTTGAAATTAACTTATTCGAAGTATGCCTCTTTATGTCGAGGGTCTGAATCTCCTCCATTGTTGAAAGACTTGTCAACAGTCTGCTTTCCCCGAAAAAATAAGGAGGTTTCTTTCACCTAATATATTTTCATATACTGGGAGCTTACTAGAGTCCAACCTTCCTGAAAGCTTCCTCAGTCAATTTGAGTTGAGAGTCATTTTTATGATCACCATGAATGGCTATGGCATTTTATAAAGATCGGCACGTACTACAAACAGTTGGTTTAAAATGATAGAAGAGTTACTAACCATCTGAAACATGTTTTAACTATGTCTGAAACAAACCCAGAAATCTGATGGGATTTATTTGTAAATCCCGCATATATTTGACCAGTCTTTTTGTTACTCGAATAGAATCCCATATTTAAACTAAGCAGAGATTTGCATATATATTCCATAAAATTTCTAAATTTCTTCTAAAAATAGCATTTACATCCTTTTCTGGATTCAAGTCCGAGAAATAGTTCGTATGATTAAAAACTAAAGCAAATGGTTGTCATGTGGTGTTACTAAGGAGTACTGTTGCTTACGCGTATTCTCTCAAGATGCTAATGATGTGTTATCTTATTTCCTCAGTCAAGCCGAAAAGAACTAGCTTCAGATATTGAAACATTGAAGAAGAAAATTGCAGGAACTGAGTAGATTTAATGCTATTGTAATGGTTGAACTTTGATCTGTATTGTGATCATTCTATCTTGTTCTTCTGTAAGCGAGACATCATCTTCCTCCTGTAATGCTGAATGGGACAAATCTGCATTTCCTGTATTTATCTTTGTAAAATAATTTGTCTGAGTTTTATATGTATGGCTTGAGGGGCAATGCCGTTGTGATTGTGACTGGAGTCTAGCTTTATTCTATATTATATATAATGTTAATTAAATTTAATTCATGTCGAATGCGAGTGATACAACTGAAAAAAACTCTTTAAATTAAAAGTGGAAACTTTTTTTATTTTTTATCATTTATGCTTATGAATCAAGAACTTGCTTTTTATTGTGTGAGGTAAAAATGAGGAACTAAAACATTTTAAAAAGGGAGTAAAAGATGTGAAATTTTTTTATGCAGTAATGTGATGTTTCACGGAAACTCTGAAATCATAGTTCATCTTTTATCTCTCAACCATGATCACAGGTCAACCACGATGTCGACATACACGTGCATATATATGTGTGTAAATATATATAAAACTTTATTCATGACCTCAGCAAAATCTAAAACCTTCATGGCGCTTTGAATTCTATTTGCTAAAATTAATATTGAAGGACACTTTAATACATTCCACACAAATATAATCTTGGTCTTACAAGAAAACATTCGTATGTTTGGACACACATACACATGTAAAATCCAAATCATTCGCATGAACAAAACAAAAACATCTAATATTTGTATCCTCATTTCTTAAGAACCATTAATTACTATACAAAGAAAATCTGTTAGTATACTCAGGAATTAATGAACAAAAACTACGTCGTCTATCAATCATAGACATGGATCAAGATTCAAGCTCCTGTCCCTCCTCCACCCCAAGAATGATTTCTCCATAAAAATATTTTCTTTCAAATAAGTTTTACCGCTTTTAGATTTCTCTATTCTTTTCTGACTTAATTTTGTTATCAGTTTTGGTTCCTTGTAGTTTTATCTTTATTTATAGCACTGTTTTGATCACAACAATATTTTGTTATAAGATAAATTAGAAGGTAGATCTATGTTCATAACTTCGTTTTTATTTTTCCAAACAATCTTTTTCTCCACTGTCCTTTTCTATAATATTTTTAAACTAAGAATATAAATTGCAGTGCAATTATACCAAAACAAAAAATAAGTTCATAAAATGCAGTGCCATCGTTTCAGCATTTTTCAAGTATTACTTCGAGCGGCATGTCAAATATGTTTGGAAGTTTTCGTTTTGTAATGCCCAATCAAAACGGTCAGCCACGCAAAGCAGACACTGCAACGAGGATTACTTGCACGGAACCAGACAACACAAGCACATAGCTACAAGAAAATCAAGACATCAACAAATATATAAGGTTCTTAAAACTGCATTCTTAAACTAAAACAGTCACAGGTAAAATCATTATCCAACCCCATTTACATTTCCACCCATTCATTCCCCCAAGAACCATGGCAACTGTTGAGAATATCCCCGTTCATTTAACCTCTAAATCAAACCATTCTGTGCACGGTTCCTGGGTACTCAGAAACTGAGTTGGTTCATGTCAATACGCATTTTTTCATTTTTTGAAAAAGGAAAGAAGGTTAGTGTTTCTAAAGGGGCCATAAAAAGCTCCCGGCATAGAAATAGTTAGTGCCTGATGGTGAGCTCAGCTCTGAGATGAAGGATACCATTTATGAAGTAAAGACAGTCATCTGCCATGAAAGAAGTCCATGGTATGGCAAATAAGTTTCGATAGCCAACTGCCTTGCCCCCGGTGAATGTGTAGTTACCTTTGTATTTGCTAACAAACTCCTCAGTCGGCTTTGATCTCGCTGCAAATTCATAGTCCACAGCAAAACTCACTGATCCTTTCTCCTGCATCCCCAGGAACAATCCAAAACAATGAAATGAGCTCTGTTGATCCATGTTGCAGTGTGCTGACAAGAAAAACCCTTGTCCGCCCAAGTGGAATGCCTGGGAGTATACTCTTCCGGAGGGGAATAAGTTTGCACACTCCTCCCGCTTCAAATCCAGGTAGACGACACACTGTGGCCGGGGAACTTCAAATTCGACCACTTTAACGGGCCGATACTTGTAAGCTCGCTCCACAAAACGACGGTTCAATGAGGCTGACTCTTCTGCAGCTAGACTCCGTTGACGGTGTGGGGCCTCAGCCTTGAAAAAAAGAGCCTCCAGTACCAGCTTGGATGCTACTTCATGATCGAAATCATTACAGGTTAAAACCTTCTTTAGCTTCCGACAGGTCATATAAGGGAAGCGAATAAACCGTGCAAGGCGTGAACCCAAGACCTCCCGCCGATCCTCTAGTCTTGGATACTGGGCCCTAGACCACTTTACCACAAAGTCGTATACAGCATCCTCTGATGCTATTTGGAGATCATCACTGGACAATATCGCCTCAATTCCAGCTAGTGGCAAGGCCATTACCTCTTCTTGAAACCTGTCCAAAAGCAAGAATAGCACAAAAATAAATTTTCCATGTATAATGCACATAACATTCATTTATGTCAAATTAAAAGTTACAGATCCAGATCAATTGCGCTCTCTAGGCCACGATATTTGCCCATTCAGTTCCCAATTAAGATTGGTGCTTATGTTACCTTATTATTTGGATAACAATGTTCCAGTTCTGAATCGAAGAAAAGGAAAAGACACCGAAGAAAGCATTCAGTTTTTGAACTGAGTGAATGCTAGATGCATGTATTGAAGAGATTGGAAGAAATTTCTAATCCAGATAAGTAAACATGTTTACCCAACAAGAAGTTTATATAGAGGAGAAACCAATCCACTTATTACATAACAGAAGAAATGTAAATTCCGCATGCCAATCAAGAAACATCATACTAGTGAAATGGGACTTACTTGCTCATGTCTTTATACCGGGATGCAAGAAACTGCTTTGCAGCATCTGTCAATGGCTGGACGGCTTCAGCCATTAAGACACTTGAGGGAAGATCTAGATAAAGCAGTGCAGACTCAGGTGTCATGTCCATATTCCGTAGAAGCCGACTGCAATGTCTCATGCATGAAGCAACCTCAAATTTGTCAGCAGCCATCAGCACATCAAGCAAAGCAGGAGCTGTTGTGACGGACAAGGTATTGCTATACATAAAATTCAGAAGCTCCATCAGAGCAGCTTCCTCTGCAAACAAACAAACAAAAATATGATAGAACTGTCAGGGTACTAAGGCTGTAATCTCCAAGTTTTCACACTGAATCACTGAAGGGCAAAGGAAGTAGAAGGCAAAATCTAGGGCATTCAAAATAAAAAGTTTACTCAACTACAGAAGTAAGAATTTTGTTTCAGCTTCATAAGAAGACATATGAACAACATTGGAAATTTGGTGCATTTGGGTGCAAAAGTGAACCATGCATCTAATTATTAGTTCTTTTTTGTCAATGATAAAAGTTACTAAAGCAATTTTTTTTAAAATAAGAAGTTACTAAAGCAGACAGCTTATGATGTTTGTCTATACCAGAGGCATTGATTCTAAGGGTTACATGTCGTTGCTCGGACTCCTTCATTCCATTTGAGAAGAGCTACAAAAAAAGAAAAACAACAATATGTGAGGAGATAAAAAAAAATGATGGTTTCAGTAAACAAAGAGTAATTGTCTTGCAACTGGTACTTTATAGAAAAATGGACTTTTTGCAGCCAAAATAGGAGAACTGATGTGTAATGTTTTGACTCTCTGAACAGTAGAACAATCCATGCTCCAGTTAGATTCATTGCTATTTGCAGCTTCATCACCTGCAAGAGTGCTAAGGAAGCTCAGATGAACGGTTATGGAGAATGGAGTGGCACTCAAGACAAAAAAACTATTGCTCATAAAACTAAAAATAGCAATTTGCAGGTGCACTTCCTTCCAATGAATAACAGCTTGACTTCGAACCCAATAGTCTAGGAGAGGGCATTAACCAACAGTGTGCTTCATTAAATAAGTTCTGTGATTAAACTATGGAATGAAATGCTAACAGCTTTTATCTGCAACAAACTCAACTCAACGATAAGGGGACGAATTCACGTCTGTCTATCGGAAAAAAGATTCATCAGACTATTGTGGCAACATCAATTTATTCACAAAAATGTTTGCACCAGAAAATAAGATCTAAATTTGTCTCAGAGGTATAGCATCCCTTGTTTTCCTCTAGTATGAAGGGAAAATACAACTCAAAAACCTCTTTTAGGAGGAAAAAAGAAATACTACTAAAGAGACAAGTGAAGAAACCGAGATAAATATCCTCCTATGAAAAAAAACTAGAAAAAAAAAGATAAAAAATCAAAAAGAATTCTGGACAACTCTTTTTGCAAGACAACTAAGAGTTATCCATATAAAACCCATGTTCCTTAAGCCGAAGAGAGCAAAAAGAATATCCTACCCCTCAGAATTCAAAGAGCAAGGACAAGATGATTCAGAAATCTTGCATTTCTCTCCCACAATGTTCACAGCCATGCAAAAAATAACCTCTCCTGAGCATTCAACTCTTCTTCCTAACACAAAGGAGGGAGGAAAAAATAAAGCACTTGAGATAAGGCAGGGATACCATGGCACAATAATATCAAACTGACTAGCCCAAAGCCTCAAGACTACATCTCAAATACAATAGCAAATGATAATGGGACTCAAGATTCTGATAACACAAACACCAGGAGATAGTATGGTTAGTCCTACAAGCTTCAAACAAATCATTGGTTTCAAGGACAGTCTAGACAAATATTTTAACTTTACAAGGGGCGAAAACCTTCCAAAAGGCACTGATTAATTCCATATTATTAGCAAGAAGGATAGTTTAGTTGGTTCTACAAGCTTCAAACAATTTATTGGTTTTAAGGACAGTCTAGACAAATATTTTAACTTCACAGGGAGCTTTCACCTTCCAAAGGGCACTGATGAATTCCATATTATTAGCTAGAAGAATACCGGGTAAGACATGTTTAAAAAGAAAAAAGGATTTGCAAGTATAGACACCAAAAAACCTAAAATCCACTTTCAATGATTTGATCCTGACAAAATGCTTAAGGGCCCAAAAAGGCTAAAGCAGAGAAAGCATATAACAGTTTCCTATAATTGAAGTTTTTAATAAGGGAAAAGCTTCATAGAATATGGCCATCAGTTATCAATAACCTTTCTTACATAAACGTCTTTGTGTCTTTTGTGGGGTATGTCAATGTCACAAATCTATCCAATGCTAGTTTGCAGCCCTCTTTCCTGCTATGCCCTTACTGCAGACCCTAGAAAGAGAAACTTTGCCAGGTCCTTCACAGCAGAATTCGGCTAGCTGGGCTGGGCAGCAATGGCATCAGGTACAGTGCTACAAAAAGGCAACCATAGTGCAGATCCTTGACACCAAATTAATTACAAATATTGCAAGTAAGTTCCCAGATAGCCGTTATATCATTTGCTTCATCCTGTCAAACAAAATCTATATGCCCGGACCTTCGCTATTGGTTTTTCTTTGGACAGTATTATTTCTCTAAAAACAAGGAATTATACAAGATCTAGTAATGCATGCGCTTTTCAGCATAAACTTCAGAACAAAATTCCAGATAGAATTCCTTCGTAACTAAGATCTTCCAAAAAAATTCCATTACCTGAAGGTGACTCTTCAATCATTGCCACTGCTTCCTCATCTTGATTTTCACCGCCAGCAAAATCATCCATGTCTGGTTGGTTACCATTTAAAATCTGCTCCTCAGGACACCAAGTGAGATCCAGAACTGAAAAAAAGAATCCAATTAGCTATAATAAAAACTGATAAATGAAACAGCAAGTACATGCTATGTCCTGACAAAAGATATATGTTCTTTATTATCCTAACAAATTGCTCTCTATATCACCTGCTATGACAGATACCGATTATTTGTCAAATAAAACCAACAGATTTGACTTCCTATATCTGTTGAGTCCTTAAATGACATTGTTCCTGAAATACCCATCTCCTTCTTTTCCAAGAAATGCAAAAAATGAAATTGAATCTGTAGAAAGAAGACCCTAGTTTATGATATTATCAAGATTTTACTTCTTACTTAATAACGTGTTAGCCAAACAGGCTAAATGGAGAAACATATTACAAAGCAAGATTCTTCTTTCTCCACATTAAATCATAACATAAAATGTCCAAGCATAAATTAAAATGTTATTTGGAAATATGGGGAAAAAGACAAACATCTTGATAGCCTCATAAAATGAAGAATCAAATCTCATAATAATGATAGTATAGTGTGCACTAACAACAAATGTTGTTAGCTAAAACCTACAAATCTGACTTCTTCATCATGTTGAGTATGTTACTGACATTGTTCCCTCGAGTCCTTATTCCTTTTTCCATAAATGTGAAATTAAAATTAAATATCTGTAGAGAATAATCTATTTTCGGATACCATCAAGTTTTACTAAAATATAGCTAATAAATGGTAGCCAAAGAAGCTGAATAATAGCACAACAGGTTACATGACAAACTTTTTCTTTTTTCCTTATTAAATTTAGAACGAAATATAAAATGCCAAAGCATAGTGCAAGTCCTGAACACCGTGCAATGTGATTTAGATTCTTCGCAAGATTAAGTTTCTTTGTACCACATGTTGAATCACAATACTGCCTCAGAACATGTCGGAACTCACCTATGAGGTACATCAAGTTTGGAATGAAATCAAAAGAATAGATTCAATAGAAAATGAAAATATGACCCTTTTTTCGCTTAGTAAGCCTACTGATAGAGCTTAGGGGTAATTTATATGCAACTTCGAAAGCAAAAGAATCGCACAAGAAGAATTGATAATATGCAGCTCTTTCAACAACATAAATTAAAACGTATGTCCAACACAAGAAAAATTATCTATGTTCGTTGAGAACTTCTTATATACGAGACTAAGACAATCACATGATTTTATCTGTATAATTCTCATGAAATCAGTAAGTTAAGCTAACGTTTCCTCGGCCAAATGTCAGAAAAGTGCAATTTTGTTTCTTTATTTTCCTGCCCAGCGAAACAGCATAAAAGAAGCAGAAGACCCCAACTTCAACCAAAGAAATTCTTGCAATCTTGGAAAATGATAATTTGAAGAATCTTTCCCCCATCAATTGAAAAAGAAACCGTAAAATCTCCTTCGAAAGGGCTAATAGAAAGAACAGGGCCCGACGCCAACAAAAAAGAGCTCAAACGTTTTGTTTCCTTCATAATCCCCAGATTTCTTGTCAATCAAACAAATGAATAGAAGAAGCACTCGTAATAAAAACAAAGAAGAAGAAGAAGAAGAAGAAGAAGAAGAAAATATAGGGAGAAGCAAACCGTTATCCTTCTTGATATCTTCTCTTCTCCTCTTGCGATGCCTGGCCCAATCGGCTATACTCGTGCAACCCTCACCATCGGACCTGCTGTCCGAGGAGCCGCCCATGATCTCGATCCGCAAAAGCCTATCTGAGAAGTTACTATCGTTGAAAGCAAAGCCGAAATCGCCATCGGAGCCGGAACCTCGCCTCGAATAATCGGAATCCATTTCCGTCCTCGGGTCGAACAGATCCGTATTGGTGTCCCTCATTCTAACCCTCTCGACTTCCCCCTCCGTTTTAGCTCTTTTAATTTCTCGCTCTCTCTTCTGGAATGATATTAGGGAAAATGGAAACAGAAACCCTAAGAACGATGAGCTGGCGTTATCTAAAACGAGGGAGGACGGAAGAAGGTAGTTTTGGTGGTGACAGCAATTAAAATGAGATGAGCACAAAATTAATTTTTTTTTTTTTTGAAAAAAAGTAAAATTTTTTTAAAGATAAAGAATGGATTTATGCCTAAACCTTACCAAAATCATGTCGAAATCATTGTTTTTCTTCGAGCGGGGTGTTTGTTGTGTATTCATATAATACTACGTCGTTTTAATGAATAATTTTTTCCGTCGTTGTCTGAATTGGACTCTTCCGGGTCGGGTCAACTGTGGTGGCGTTTGAATTGGAGAATTGGAATTGGTTGCCTGCCTCGTGTTTATATTAGTTATATGCCATGTTGACGTTGGTACGTGTGCGATACGGAGCTGCCTTTCTTTATTTGGGTGTAAGAACCGAATTACTTTTTCTTTCCCACTAATCCAAATTTCCTTATTCATTCTAATTCTTTAAAACTAATATTATTATTTCTTAAACAATAACACGAGAAATTTACTTATTCATGTCCAATTACAAATATACTTCATAAAAATATAGATAAATCATTATTTAGAGATTGTAATATATTATATTATGATTATTATTTATACCTCAGACAATTGATGAATATATGAATTTTTAATCGAAATAAAATTTTTTTTGCAACAACTTAATACCAAGCTTCTATCAACACTTATGATAGCTCTAATTTCCAGATTTTAAAACACCTATGTAATGTGTATATATAGTTGTATTTAATAATATTAAAAAATAAAATAGATTTTAAAATTAAAACATTAAGTCTTTTGGTTTGGACAAATTTAATCCAGTTGCAAATTGGATTAAGCTCGATTTCTGTTTCTTCATTTTTTTTTTTTTTGTAATCTTCTAACTCAATTTTAGTTCAATTTCTTTAATTTAGCTTCACTTAATATTTTCACGGAGTATCAAAAGTATCATACATTTTGTTAATCACTATAGTTTAACTAGATTGCAATTTATAAGGTACATATTCCTTCTAAGCTTGATCTTTGAACATTTCATTCATTAACCCTTGAAAAGTGATGGTAGTATTTTTCTTACTAAAATATATGACTTTATAGTAATATATTTCCTAATGCATCATGAATGAGGTATTCTCATTATTCACTTTACTATCAAATTTAGTGATATATAAAGAGTGCATCTATAAAACTCAACAACCCGTATATGGAAGTTGAATAAACATATTGATTTATATTTAAAAAAAAATAAGTTCATAAAATCATATTTGAAAAACTTCTTTATACAATATTTTGAAGATCATTATACATCTAAATCCACATGAACAAGGTGCATCTATCAAGGGTATTGATAAATAATAAATAAGACAGCTATCAATATTTTTCCCATGCAAAAGCTTGGGAAAGAATGAGGATGAGGATTTAAAACCTAAAATTACGCAACTAGTAGCTTTTTATATGTTCTAACTCAAAAACAAGTCATTTTTTAATTTAAATAAATTAATAAATTTTAATTTTTTATTTATTGATATTAATGGTAATCTATAACCTTAAATGAAATATATAAACAAAAAAAAAAAAGGAGCATGGGAGTGCATCTAGTATAACCATAACCATACATTACACATTCATGTAAACCTCCCTCAATTTTGTCTACATGTGTGATGGTTTATAAGCAATTCATATGTGATTGCGTGTTTTTTTCTTTTCTCTAGTTCTCGGTCAATATCCTTTCCTTCTGCCATTTTCCTTCCATCAAGTAATCTATTTTTTTTTTTCATAATTTAGTTTTAGATTTATTGTTGTAGATAAATTTAAGTTGGGATAAATTTTTTTGTCCATGCTATTCAAGATGAACACATACATGTATTTAAAGTACCCAATTAGGGTGCTTGTGTAAAAGTATGAGTCCATTTACCAAAAAGTTTTAACTAACTTGTAATATGCATGTAAAGGTCCGGAACCTTAAAGTAAATTAATTTATAATTTAAATGCAGAAGCAAATACTATAGTTATAGTTTACATTCCTTACACAATAATTTAAAATGCTCAATAGGGCTACGGGAATGTCCATTCTAAAAAACAAACGATAGTTAAAGAAATAATAAAAAAGAGCAAATAAATAAGTATAGTATGACAACTTTTACTAGCACTTGAAAGGAGTCCGGGTGGTAAACTACTCATAACCCTCTTGCTGATCGGGATCTGGATCTTGGTGTTCTTAATCTAAAATATTTAATAAAATAGTGAGTTACACTAGTTCAATAAGAATATCATACTAATCACAGATATAGAAAACTGAATATTGGTATAAATTAGAAAAATAACTAATAGAGTCCTTACTTCAATTAAATACATTTAACTTTAAAACATTTGTTTGATACTTACCGTAATGAGTTTTTCAAAAAATAACCTATGGGGACTCATATCTATACCACTTTTTATTTTCACATATAAGAGAACAAGAGACGATAATTTTTTTTTTCTTACTTACTTACTGATACCCCTGGGGATTCATAGGGATGTCCTCATATTTGTGAACCTAATATTTACTTTTAATAATTAACCGGTCATCCCCATACCCCGTCCGGTATGAGGGTGAACCATATTTCTCAAACATTTTCGGTAAAGGACTTCCCAACCTCATTCAACTATAGTAACGTTCACGGTAGGATTTCTAGTGAAAAGGTAGATGGGTCTGGTATAAAGGGAACCCTACCGTGAACGTTACTTCAATCGAACGGGACTAAAAAGTTTTTTACTAAAAAGATTTGAGAGATATGGTTCACCCTCATACCGGATAGGGTATCGATACAATGGAATGTTTAGCGTCCGTTACCGAACGGAGTATATGGACGACCAATTAATTGTTAAAATTAGATATTGGGTTCACAAATAGAGAAATATCTCTATGGATCCCCAGGGGTACCAGTAAGCAAGTAAGAAAGAAAAATTGTCATCTTTTGTTCTCTCATGCGTAAAAATAAAAAGTGATATGGATATGAGTTCCCATAAGTTGTTTTTTGAAAAACTCATTACGATAAGTATCAAATAAACGTTTTTAAGTTAAATATATTTAATTGAAATAGGGGCTTCATTAGTTGTTTTTCTAATTTTTACCCATCTTTTATTTTCTATATATGTTATCAGTGTGATATTTTTACTGAGCTAGTGTAGTTCACCATTTCATTAATCATTTCAGATCAAGAATACCAAGATTCAGATCTCGATCAGCAAGAGGGTTATGAGTAGTTCACCACCTGGACTCCTTTCAAGTGCTAGTGAAGGTTGTCCTATTATGCTTATTTATTCCTTCTTTTTTATTATTTCTTTAACTACCGTTTCTCTTTTAGAATGGATATCTCATAACCCTATTGAACATTCTAAATTATTATGTAAGGAATGTAAACTCTAACTCTATTATTTGCTTCCATATTTAAATTATAAATTCATTTTCTTTAAGGTTATGAGCCTTTATAGTTGGTATCAGAGTCGCGTTCCTTGGAACCATTCCCTATACAAAGACTTAAAAATACTAAATATAAACTATCGCTCAACTCTTCCTTGTGAAATGCAGGTACAAGGATATGAGGAGAGGAATGCCCCCATTAAACCAAGTAGCTGGGGATGGTTCGCTTCAAGAGGATGTTGAGCGACTCTTTGAGATATTGGAGAAACTCATCTCTGCCCAGCGGGCCTGAAAGAAAAAAAGAGAGCTGTCTGACCCTCTCTCACTGCCACAATTTAAGCTACTGTTACAGCGGGAAGATCCGGAGCCACCCTGGTAGAACCTTGCTCCTCCACCGTATCATCCGGCATCGTTACAGGGCCACCCAGTCCCTCCACAGCATAATCCAATTCCTCTTCTACGGGACTCAGTTCTACCCATAATGAACCCAGACTATATTGAAAGGTACAAAATACTAAACTCATCTACCTTTGCAGGGGCATTATGTCTTTTGAAAATACCGAATATTGGTTGTCTGAGACAGAGAATGCATTCACGACTCTTGCGGTGGTTCTCGAACAAAAAGTTGTACTTGCTACCTACATGCTTGTGAGAGAGGTAGGTTGCTAGTGACAGTTCAAGTAGGTCACCCTGCCCGTTTTAGTCCTTTGGGAACAGTTATTGATGGTCTTCAATACAGAGTACCTCATAGAGCAACTCCGACATTTGAAGGAAATGAAATTTGCACACCTAGTTCAGGGTGATATAACTATGTCCGAGTATACCCAAAGGTTTCTAGAGTTGGGCCAATATTCCCTTGAGAGCATGATGGATGAAGGCAATAAGGCAAAAAAGTTCTAGTGGGGCTTCTGTTCTAAGATCAGATAATAACTGTACATATTTGAGCTCAGTACCTATTTAGTCATTCTAGTTAAGACACAATAAGTGAAGAGGAACCTTTGCATCTTTCCTTTAGCAGTGGGAAATCCTACACCTTCGGTTTTACATCGCAAACCAACACCTACTACACTGGTTCAACAGAACAAGAGGCCTAAGCCGGTGACTCAAGGTCCTCTTCAGGCTCCGATAACAGGACACGGTAGGATTTGTCAGCAATGTGGCAAGGATCATGATGATAGATCCTCCCATCGTCTCAATAATACATGTCGCATATGTGGGAGCGTCCAACACTATACGAGAGAGTGCCCGCGAAATCAGAACTAAACCATACATCTTATTTAGTGTAGAGCTTACAACCTCACTCAATATGATGCTGAAGCAAACTCAGACGTGATACAAGGTATGTACACTATTTATAATCACTTTGTACATATTTTAATTGATACCGGTACTTCACATTCATTTATCTCACATGCTTTTCAACCAAACTTGAATGTATTACCTGGAAGACTTGATTCTATGTTGTTTATGTATATTATTGGGAGTATGACACTACTAGGGGAGATTATATACAAAGCTTGTATCATAGACATAGTAGATAGAAAAATGAGTGTGGACCTAATAGAGATCGACACAGAGGACTTTAGTGCAATTTTAGGAATGAACTGGTTAGCGGTGTATCACGCCACCGTAGATTATT